TGCAGCGGAAGGAATGGCTGCAATGCGGGGGAGAGCCCCACACTTGCTCGTGCGCTAACAGCTGGGCCCGTGCGAGTTTCACCCGCTCCGCACCCCCTTCCACCGGCTACGTGCGAGGGCTGGCCGGGATTCCTGCGCGGAATCAAGAAGGATCCGGGCTCCCACCCACCAGCCCCGATGCCTCCCCATTCCTGTGGGCGAGCTGGAGCCAAGTTTATCCCTGACACATCTCCAGAGGCTCTGCTGGATTTAGACCGCAGATAAGTTTGGTGAGAGACCTAAACTGGTGGCACGCAAGGTCAGAGGAGTCACTACCGCCAGAAGCCATGTGCAAGCACAGCCCTGCTTAGAGCCAGGGCTCGCCACACTGAGCAGCAAACCATGAACCTCTTGGATCACACACACACACCGGGCCCTCCAAAGCAACCCCAAAGCACCTGCAAAGAGCGCCGAGCTCCCCTGCTTTAGCCAACAGGCAAGCTGAGCCCAACACAGCTCGCTGCATGCCCTGGAAGGAAACGCACGGAGTGGGAAAAGCAATGGGAAGAGCCTGAGGATCAGAAAGCAAGAGCAAGGCAGAGCGCGCAGGGGCCGAGCAACGTGGCAAGGAGGGAAGGTGGTCCACGGTGCAGGATCAGGGAAAGGCTGGGGATGGGGGACGTGGAGCCCCTGTCACCACCAGACACCATCCCTGGCACTAGGAAGCCACAGCAGCCTCTGCACCTCCCCTCCTCTCCTCGCCGCCCTTCCAAGGGATCCCGGGCGACGAGCAGGAGGGTCTGGAGGACGTTTACATTAGCAGCGAGCACCGTGGGTGCCAGCAGCAATTCGTTACAAGCGCTCGGAGCAAAGCGGGCAGGCACCGCTGCTGTTACCATAGAAGGCACCTAGGAGGGGAAAACCAGCAGAGCGGCTCCCCACGGCAGGGCCCCGCGCTCGGAGCACGCACGGCGCGAAACCACGGGTCCGGCCACCGCAGGGGCCCTCCAGCTGAGCCCTGTGACAAGGCCTGTCCCCACCATGCACGCCAACAGCCTCTGCCAGCTCGCGGGTGGAAAGCGCTGCCCCCATCTCTGGGTCCATTCCTGAGCCCTCAGCCATTCTCTGTGGATGGCAGGGAGCAGAGGAGTCACCCAGTTGTCCCCAGATGCCACAACACATTCTCATCTTCCTCAGGGATCCTGTGGGAGGGGGGTGTTTCATCAGCAAGCAGGGTGCCCTGCCATACCTGGCACGAGGACCATGTGCAGCTCTGAGCACTCACGGTGCCACACCAGGAGCTCCAGGTATCTCTCATCAAGCAGCCAGTCACAGCTGGGAAATCTGCCTTTCACTTTGGTCATTTGAAAGCTATGGGATTTGGTGTCCCAAAGTTATCAGAGGGAGGAATAACAGCCACAGCACCATGTGCCACTTGACAACACTCCCTCCCTGAAAACAGTCCCCTTCAGAGCGGCAGAACCACCCGTCCCTTTGGTGGCAACTAAGGAGAGGCTGTGGGGCGAGCAGCAGCCTCGGGGTAGGGGTGTCCCTGTCCCACCCAGGCAGCTGGGCACCAACGCTGCTCTCGGAGCACAGACTCCACAACCTGCAGCCAGAGAGTCAAACCCCGCATACAAACTTTCCTCCTTTCACATGAGGAAGGGGAACTCTCAACCATCGGCTCTTTCTGGTGCACATAGAGCTGTGAATACAGCACAGCCCTCGAGGTATTCAGCATCTCCGCAGCCTGCAGACCTGGTCCAGCTCCCCTCGCTGTCTGGCTAGTACTTTTGGCCGGTGCTGCTACAGCACCTGTGTGAGCAGGGTGGGAGCTCCCGTGCTGCACCCTGCGCCTCCTCCACGACCCCGGGCCGGTGCTGGGAAGCGCCCCTCAACTCCTCCTCTGCTGCCTGCCACCCCCACGAAAAGCCGGTCCCTTCTCCCCAGGGCTGGCTCCAGATCCCTGCAGGTTGCTCCTTCCCAGCGCCCAGGCTGGCGCGACACGCGAGGCGGCGCGGGGGCCGCGCATACAGGGACAATGCGGATACAACGCGCACATCCCGCACCTACAGCAACCTCCCGCTCCGCACGGGGAGCGCCCAGCCCCGGGGCTGCCCCGCTTACCGCTCT